ATGAGCTAGATGTTGTTGGAGTTAAAAGCTTGTTAGAAGTAGCTGTTGCGACCACAGCGGTCGCAGACTCCGAAGGCGAAAGTTTCGGGATCCCTATATCCCTCGGCACCATCAAATTCTACATCAATGCCCACAAACTCTCTGCCGATATCCCCATACCACCAGACTGCCTCCCATTCAATGTTACAAAAAACTTGACGAAGCCACAGTTAGACGCTCTTGGATGGGAAGAATTGGGAGTTACATATTGGCTGCAGTATATCTGCGTTAAAGCTTCAGCACTGCCTGTTGAACAAAATATACAACTTTCCGCAAAGTTTGCTCAAACTGTTCTAGCAATCATATCTAAAGGATGGGAGCAGTTGCCTCCCAATAGTAAAGAAAATATCGTTACCCTCCTCAAAGACAAAACTTGCATTCCAACCCGACAGGGTATGAAAGTTCCCCGGGAAGCCTATTTCAATACTGTCAAGTTATTTTCAGATCTACCACTGGTGGAGAGTATGCACGGCGTTAGGGACAAGCTTCTTGTGGCATTGGGGGTTCGGAAAACGGTGGATCTTAAGCTCGTGTTTGAGAGGTTGATGAATGGGTCGCAAGCTGGTGTTGTCAAATGGAGTCACGTCGATCTCATAAGGTACCTTACCAGCGTGAGAGAAGACATACCTAGGGAGGATATCACGAAGCTCAAAAATGCAGCTATTTGTAAGGCTGAAGGTGTTGGCTCGACGGAACTATACAAAGTTTCAGAACTCTACGAGCCCAACGATGGCTTAAGGAAGTTACAGTTGCCGATTTTACAATGGCCTGGAATCTGGAGAGAAGGAAGTCATGAAGCGAAGTTCTTGTCAAGCTTGGGTCTAAAGCGATATCCAGGTGTACAGGAAGTTCTACAGATTGCGGGAAACAAGGAAGACGCAGTGTTGAGGGAGGCAGCCTTGTCTTATTTTATTATCAACTACCACCTGAATTCATATCATACTTTCAACACCGCCGGAGTCACCACTCCGTTTTTACCACTCAATGATAGTAAAGGAGAGAAAGGGCCCCGTCTTGTTACTCCATGGCAGTGCTTCTCGAATCCCAAGGCTGCAATCATGGGATTTGATGTCTTGAGGCAAGACCTTCAACAGCACGGATCTAAATTCGGTGTGAAACCGGATCCCGATATGAAAGATTGTGTGGATGTTCTCATCAACTCCCCGCCATCCACAACTCGTGCTGCACGAGAAAAGTTTGGATACTTTTCGACTAGATTAGCCGATATCATGCCGCATCTAGTAGAAAGGTTAAGCCAAGCAAGAATCGTTCCTGTGCCCTTGAAAGATCGCGAGAGGATACCATCTTCAGACCTAAAGATCAAATTTATCACGCCAAGGACATGCTTTCTGGGTGGAGTAGGAAGTCAGTATTTTGAAATATTTGATTTCGTGGATTTTGGACAAGAGGCCAACTCATTTCTGCTGAAGTGTGGGAGTAAACACGAACCCACCGTTGTGGAAGTAGCCTATATGATGGTTCGCGAACCACAAAGATTATACGGAGTATTCAATAGCTCTGATAAGTATCTCAGTGTGCTGAGAAGCATCGCAGAGAGTTGGACGCACCTGAAAAAAGATAAAATACTCGTCAGGGAGATGAGGAGGAGCCCCTTTTTGGGGTCTTTTAGGTGGCGTTCATACACGAACGAGAAATCTGACCTGATCGATTCAGCGTCTATAGACGAGGATGATTCTGGTGGTATCAGGGAATTTGTGCTTGCAAGGGTAGACGAAGTCTTGATTTCCGATGATTACGTCTTGTTTCTTCTGTTCAGAGGGGAGATCTTGGCCGCTCCTCAGGAAGATGCTTTAGAAGGCTTTTATCACGTCCGTCAAACATCTCCCTTTTATCCTGATGTGTTACTAACATATTCTAGTCGCTGGGGGTGCAACGACTTTCGAGCAAAGTCTCAACTGACTGGAACATCGGTCACGTGAAGCCCATGCCTGAAAAGACAGAAAAATTGAGAAAGCTGGTTCTTGAAAGATCAAGGTTGTTTTTGCACAATAATACCGAAGAGGTGTTGCATGATGCGCGATGGCTCGAAAACAATTTGAGAGTGGAAATAGTGGAATCCATTAGATTGAGAAGAACCTTGAGAAATGAAGGGTCAAAGAATTTGACCCACCAGAATACTAAAACTGCTACAATCACAATGGATACAAGGACAAAATGGTGGGTACTGTATTTGACGCCAAAGTTCGAATTTTACGACGTCTCACAGGCACTTGTGACTTTGATTCTCAGAAAGCCAAGGCCACATTCAAGCTTGCTGCTGGATAGTTTGCTCCACAATGGTACGCTCTCTGTCAAATTCGATGTGTATACAAAGCTAACTAATTTTTTCCAAAGACTTGATGACCCTAAAATCAAGAGGTTATAATGTTGACCGTATCTTGCGGGCGAAAGCCGCCGAGGCAAAAATGGCAGAGGAGCAGCGATTGAAGCAAGCCGAGATTGAAAGGAAAGCGATTGAGGAACAAGAGAAGCGATATCAACAATCACAAATTCAACCACAACCGGGGGAAATTGCAAGGCAAATAGAGCAGAAGAAGGCCGAAGAGGAGAAATTGAATATGCCTGGAGCATTTGGAGAATCTCAGAGTAAAGCTCTCAATCCTCCGGCACATCATCATCATCATGTTCCAGAGAGGCCCAGGAATAATTTCTTTGGAAGGCTTAGCAAGCACCTGGGGTTAGAGGCGAACAATGGGCAAATGGAACAAATGCAAAACTTATTAAACAACAACAGCCCACAGCAAACAGCAAAGCCTCCGGGGCAACTTGAGCCAGCGCCTCCAATTCAGGGCGAGAGCAAGCCTGATATTGAGAAAGCTACGGAGCCGCACAGGATCCAGTCCAACCTCCAGAGAGCTATCGGGGCTAGCAGGGGACATAACTCTGATAGTGTTTTCAGTCCTCCACAAACATTCGAGGTCAAGGAAGCTCCGAGTTATTGTGATAACCAGTATGAATATCCACTTATTTTTCTTTCTTTCTTTCCTTTTCCAGCGCGTGCTAATATTAACAACTATCGTGTAGCTCGGGTCAAGATATCCTTTATTTTGCAGAGACACCAAATGGGATCAAAGTTTTCGTTGACCGTAAAATTGCGGATAAAGCCGCCTTTGCTCAAAAATACGTCAAGGAGATGAATGAGTTCTCAAACGTGTTAAAGGATCTTTCGGGAATTTTCGGGCTATCTATTACTACACTACATATCTTTTATGACGAAGTTGGTGAGTTCTAAACTCAACTCCTGATTCAAGAACGGTTTATTGACATCTAATGTTTAGGAAACACCATTGCGTTCAACACCAACGGCTCACTATTTTGTAACTTAAGGTATTACTTCTATGCTATCATAAAACATTCAGCCGCACTTTCTAACTTGACCCTCAGATTCTATCTACAACTTCATGCCAAAGATGTTACAATGGGGGATTCGTCTCAAGCACTTATCTACTGGTTCGTTGTGCTTTGTCACGAGTTGGCGCATAACCTTGTCCAAGTTCACGATGAGAAACATTCTTTTTACACGTATGTGCCATAACCGTCTCTGCTTTTTAAGAGTTTGCTAATAATTTTTTCAATAGTGAGACATTCGTCCAAGAGTACTTTGTAAAAATCATGACCAAGCTGAAGAGCATTCCTGGTGCCAAACCATGGGACATCAACATTTGATCATAGAGGACGTACAATAGACATAGAGTCAGACTTCTCTTTATTGCTCGGCCCTACTTGTACCTTGATTGGTACCTGGCGGTGAGTGGGGCCGCTTTTCTTTCCTTGCCTTTGTTTTCGTATTTTTTTTTTTTTTTTTTTTTTTGACGGGGATGTCTTTCGTGCTGTTGTCAAACTTCCGTGAGGCATTTCTTTCCCATTGCGTTTTCGTGGATTTCAACATATACATCTATTTACGTATAGATTCATTTGCAAATTTGGTTGGGAATTTCTTTCGGTGCAGGAATATAGTTTCATATATTATCACAATCCAGATCTAAGGGATGTTTTTTTTTCTCCCCCTTATCTATTATTTTCTTCTTCTAGATGTTACGTGAAGATTTGAATTACATCAGGCGCTTTGGGAGGCTGTTTGTTAACGAGCTTCATGATAGAGTAAATCATCTACTTCATTCTTGGTTCTTGAAGCCTATCAGAAAGCTTGTGATCTATCCATAAGTTAACATCCAGAACAGTAAAACTAAGATTTTGTGCCGAGTCTATGTGTCTAATACCCAGAACCTAAACCTTTCAAAATCAGTGCTACATATATAAGGGAGGTGTATAAATCATGGACCAGGAATAATTTCCAGGGCTTGTTTCCTGCACATCTCTACGAAAGCTTGGTGCGATGACAGGCACTGTTTACATAATTTCCACTGTAGCTGGTACAGACAGTCCAACATAGAACTCAGATACTCTCAACGTTTTATATGTATGCAAAACTAGCTAGAAGTGCTCGTGGGAAATGATATAAATGCCATTACAGCAATAACGGGTTCCAGGGGGCGATTGTGACGACCAGGTCAAGCTCAGAAAGGCTTTAAATTGCATTTCTAAATGTGCTACGGGTGTGCAGTGCGAGGAGTCAAGGTTTGCGTTTAACACAGAAGTACAGAGGAGAAGCTATTATATCACGATTTTCACATTTACTGAAACAATCAAGGAATGCAAAGATACGCTGAACTTGAAGGAAAAACGATTCATGTTATTTCCTTCAACAAAAACGGACGGACGGACGGCCAAAAGCGCCCACTAACTAAAACAAAATAAAATAAAAAGAGAGAGAGAAAAAACAAGAAATTAGAAAAGAAACGAAAGATATTCCACCACTCACACAAACGCAGCCTTGCGTTACCTGCACACAGTCTTAGACACAGACACAAACACAGAAACCCAACCACAGCAGCAGCACCGAAGAAGCACGGAGAGAGTCAGAGACGGCACCAGCCCCTCTAGATGGGCTGGACATAAATATACCAGTGTCCATCCTCCACCCACCCAACAGGGCACCTCACCACCATCCCGCTGTTGATCTGACGGCACCTCTCAGCGCGAACAAGGCTCACCAGGGTGGCCCTGTTCACCTTCTTACGGCTGACGCCATCCTGGCGCAGAAGCACTTCGCGAAGGTAATCGAGGTGAAGGCCACCCTGGACATGCTCGAACTCAAGAGACCCTACCGTCCACACGTTCCATTCGGCGGAGGCTGCGGGTGGCGGGATGCTGCGCCCTTGACGGAGCTGCTTGGTTTCGGGCCGCTTGGCAATGTGCTCTTCGCAGATGAGGTGCCAGGTGGTGCCGTTCTCGGCTTTTTGGATGGTTTGCAGCGTGATGAAGATGGACGCGGTGGGGATGGTGACGGCGGGCATGGGCATGGGCATGGGTGCGGCTGGGGCCATTGGTGCTGCGGTGGCCAGTCCATGGGTGGAGAGACTGGCTGAGATAGAGGATCTAGCTTCTGATGCACTGGTACTGTATATGGAGTTAGAACTGGAATAGCAGCCATTGGAAATGATAGGGTGGTTGCCAGAAGAGGGCAGATATCAAGGACCAAGGAGGAAACGTACTTCTGAGCTACACCTCTGCGGCCGGCGGCCTGGCCGGAAATGTTGCTTCCATGAATATTGCTGTCCGGGAAGGTCAGCCCTCCTCCTCTAGCACGGTCTCTGCAGATGATGGTGTCAGCACTAGATGTCAAGTAGGGAGATATATTTTCTCTTAGTCATTGTGGGAAACTCACGCTTGGGCCTGGTTCCAAATAATACGGGCCATATCCTCGGGAGTAGGATATCCCCTAATACCTCTTCCGGCTCGCTCGAGTCTATAACAATGTTAGTTTTCCGGCAGGCTCAGACAATACTGCAGACCGGGAGGCTGAGAGAAACTTACGATTGATTGATATGGTGACGTTGGGCAGCAGATGCACTGGTACTAGCAGTGTTATTGTTGTTATTTCCAACGCGAGTCGGGCTGCAGCAGGAATCATTAGTTAGGCTCAGATAATAATAATGGAGATATATATACTAGGGACTAGGGAGAACGTACTCTTGGTTCCAAATACGCGCATCGGCAACACTACTAACACCCCTTCCAGCATGGTCAAAACTGTGGCAATGTCAGTCAAGCAGGCAAGACCGGGAGATCTATACCCTATTAAAGGCCAAGAAAAAAACTTACTCAAAAGTACTATGACCACTGGCGTGAATAGGAGCCTCGGGAGCAATACATCTATTGCCACGAGTGCCAATAGGAGCCTCGGGGGCAATGTTTCCACCTCTATTCATGCTACATAAGTGTTAGTTACGTAATGAGACTCGAGATGGTGTTATACAAGGGATTGTTTCGTGGGGTGAAAGACTTACAGTGCATCGTCCCACTGGCCATGAGCAAATCTTTGGCGTTCGGCAGAACTGTTGTAGCCGTTAGTGTGGGATTTAGGCGGGGGTTAGCAACTGAGAAGATAAGGCCTTACATAGCTTCCTGGGCTTGGGTACGACGGCCGACAGAACTGGCAGTAGAGTGTTAGTTGAATTTTTCCTCCCTCAAGATATTGATGGCCTAGGCTAGGCACGAAGGAAGGGGGGAAACATACAAGATTTCTTCGGGACCATTATCAGTGTTGAAGAATCTTTCGTCTTGACTAAAAAACCAAAAATACATTAGTTGAGATGTCTCCAAAAATATTTTCTGGGATATTTCTTTTCTTCTTTTGCTTGAAGCCAGCAAGGGAGAGACGGAGGAGGAAGAGAAGACTTACTCGACATCATTACCATGTCCTACTACGTGAGGACGGGTATTGGTTGGGCTGGTGGTTCGAAGAAAAATTTGTAAGTTAAACTTCTTCAAATAACAGTAGATAGATGTCTACGAAAAAACCGTGAGGGTAGAAATTGAATGCAAAACTTACAGCGCTTCGTCTTCCTGCATGAATGGAATAGTGCTGCCGGTAGGCTGTCTGTTGTCGTCGTCGTTCCCGTCCATCTTGAGAAAGTAGCTGAAGTCCTTGTTAGTTCCAGACGTTGATAGGAAAGTAAGAATCTGTGGCAACAAGAGAAAGCATACCTTGAGGATGGTTTAATTGTTTTCTTTTCCTTTACACGGAAGTAGACGTGTAAATCGTCGACGTTGTGGTGTTGTACAAAGAAGAAGGAGACGAATGTGTGAAGAAGTGAAAGATGGAGGGGGGGGAAAAAAAGGTGAAAGGGCGGGGCGGTGGTAGGTGATGTTATAATCCAACGCCTGCAATTCCAATGCGGCGCGCCCACTTCTAAAGTGTTCGCGCCCTCTTACTTCTTTTGGTAGTCCCCGATTAAGAGCCCGGCAAATTGCAAATGGTCGACATCGGTGAATGGAACAAGAGCCCGGAAAATCGGAGAGGCGTTCGGATCGCACGCCGTGATGCGCTTTCTATAGATGCGACGGCGCTCCTTTTTGTTTTGACTGTTATTTTTTTGCACGGCTTTGAATGGGAGGGAGTCTTTAAGATGTGGGGAAATGGGGTGTATCGATAGTCTGAGGAGGGGGGCGGCGCTCTGTACGGTGGATAGAGAGCTCGGCTCTGTGTTCACCTTTGCTCTATTACTCCTTCTCTTGACGCCCGTGACCCTTCTTCTTCTTCCTCTTTTTGATCTTTCCCTTTCATCCTCGTTCCTCCCCCTCGAGTCCACTCGTCCCTCAAAGCTTCCACTCTCGTCGCAGCACAAAAGACACACATACTTCATCTACTCACATTCTCTTACCCCGCGCCCTCCTCTCACATGTTTTGTCTTCCCTTCCCCCGTCTTACATACCACGATACACTACATCTCGTTCACCACGTGCGCGCACATCAGTCTAAAAGTCCTCCGGCCCTCCCCCGAGGAAACTGCACCCTTTTCACCTTGCTGGCCCAGCTTAGCCACCCACCAACAGTACCGGCAGTGACAAGACCGCAATTGAGCTACAACAGAAAATATTTACAGAGCCATCCACCACGCCACGCCACACAATGCAATGGCATAAACCCACCCCACTTTTTCTCGTCTCGTCTTCTCGTTGCACCGCTGGGATCATGGGACATCACTCGATGAGGACGTTGCGAGATTACAGGCTTGAGACAAGGATCAGAGGGGGGTTACACAGGAGCTAGACCGCTTTCGGTTTTTAAATATTTGGATTTGGTGGTTTTGTTTACGCTCCCGCCCGCGGCCCACTCTTGTGGCTTTTTACGGTAGGAGAGGTGCATGCGCCGTCGAACCTTTCCCGTTAGTCAGACTCGGTGTTGACTTTGCGCGATGGTGAGGGGGCTGGAAGAGGGCCTGCAACGTAGACTGTGGGCGCCGCGGTATTTCCTTATCTACTACGAGGTATCTGTCCGTGGTGCGGGACGGGGGTGCGGCCTGGGCTGGGGGTGTAGGTACGCCGCCAAAACAGTTGGGTGTCGGCGCTGGGCGTGGGCACGGGCGCTGCAGGGGTACCTGTGCGGGCCGCGGTTGCTGTTGTGAACGCTCTCTCTGGGAGGGCGTTGCCACCATAGAGTAGAGAGATACATGAGGTGCTTGGGAAAAAGCTTTCGGCTCTCTGCTATCGTTGAGAATGAACAAACTGCTGAGTGAGATTCCATAACACCGCTTTCCGGCGGCATGGGATTTTATATATTTACTTCCAGCTATAAGAGAGTGGTTGTTCCAAACTACATGTATTTCACCTCGTTTCCCCCTTCTTTTGTGGCTCCCCTGGCCTTGCTCTCCTCGTATGATCTTCCGGCGCGGCGGGGTTCCGGGTATCGGGCAGACTATGATGCCCCAAACTACGTGTACCTATCCTTACCTGCATTCTACACGCCAATTCTCTTGTTCGCTTCAGACGAGATGTATATCCAGCCCGGCCGGGTGTGGCGCTGATTCAATCAGGACACATTCCTGAGCTGCTGCTGTGCCGGCGAAGGTGAAGCTGAACGGTAGGGGATGGCTGGGGGTGTTCCAGCTTCTACGAACGCCGCACTCGGCCGGACAGCTAACTGGCTACATCATGTAGTAACCTAACTTATATGTGTGGGTGGTAGGTGCATGTACTGTGGTGCAGTTAGCCGGACGGCCCAAAGCTGTGTGACACAGGCACAAGTAGTAAGCACACGCAGGTTTCTGGGACAAGGACATGTCGGAGGGACATGATAGTACCTCTATGTAGTATACATGTAGCTACATGTACATATAAGATGTAGCTTTCGTTCTTGTCTACATGTATTTCTTTCTCCTTACTTTTCCTTTCTCCTTACTTTTCCTTTCACCATCATCAAATCAGTACCTACACTCACATTCGGGCTTTCTATTTGTGAACCCAACACCTATGCTGAAATCCTGTTTCGCTACGTACAAAATGTGAGCTGCAACATTTGGCATTCATTCCATTACCTCAATTCTATATAACCCAGCCACCCCCCCGCACCGCCGATCGCGAGTGATAGTCCATGACCCGCTGTGTAACAATAGGACTCAATTCCTTTCCTTGCTTTTTTTCCGCCCAATCGAGCGGCAACCAATGATCATATGCCCACTATCTCACTCCACATCCAGATCAGCGAGAGATCTGTTCCTGCATTTCTACATGTATTGATCTGATCTACGCCATGTACCTGTTTTATTTAGCTACTACAGTTATGTTGAAAAACTATATACCCTCCCGACCCGGCCCGTTTGCTCGGAATACAGACGAATGTGAATGATAAACTCCTGGTATAGCTAGCCACCCACGCAAAGAAAAACGCAAACACAAAGAATAGGGGAAAAACAGGAAGAACCGAAACCGGGCTTACCATACTAGCTGCTGTCTATGTTGAAAAAGACGACCCAACCACACCTCTCTAAGACAAGACAAAAAAAAAGAGCCCACCATGCAAGAACGAAAAAAAAAAAAAACGAAAAAAAGGAACTCTACCCCACAAAAGCCCCCAACGCACTCTCCGCCTTGACCACCATCTCCTCCCACTCCTCCCCGGGCACACTCAACGCCGTGATCGCGCCCCCCGCGCCAATCCTCCACACATCACACTCCTCCTCCTCCTCCACCTCCGCATCCACCCGCACCGCACTGCGAATCACAACGCTCCAGTCCCCCGCGCCACACACGCTCCAGTACCCCACGACACCACTATACAGCCCCCTCTCGCGGCCCTCAAGCCCCCGCAGCAGCTGCACGCTCCGCCGCTTCGGCGCGCCAGTCATACTCCCCGGCGGCAGCGACGCGGCGAGAACATCGAAGCCGGTCATACCAGACGCGGAAGGGAGAGCGCCCTCAATCACGGAGACCAGCTGGAACACGTGTGCGTACTCCTCGACGACCATGAGCTTGCGCACGGCCACGCTGTCGCCGGCGAGGCGGTGCAGGTCGTGGCGGATCAGGTCGACGATCATGAGGTTCTCTGCGGTCTCTTTCGGGGTGCGCAGGATCCGCTCGGCGGCGGAGAGCGTCATGGTGGGTGATTTGCGGACGGTGCCTTTTATGGGGCGGAGCTGGCAGGTGTTTGTGCGGGTCCAGGAGAGGAAGCGCTCGGGGGAGGAGGAGAGGAGGGTTGTGCCCGAGAGGCGCAGGTAGGCGGCGTAGGGGGCGGGGTTGCGCGCGCGCAGGGTGGTGTAGAGTGTCCAGGGGTGCGGGGCGGGGCGGGGGTGAAGGATCTTGGTGGTGGTGGTGAGGCAGAGTTCGTAGGAGTTGCCGGAGGCGAGGTGGGACTGGGCCGTGACGATGGCGGAGAGGTAGGAGGGCTGGGAGGGGCGGAGGATCTCGGGGAATTGCTGCGTGGGCGTGGGCACCGGGGACTGCGTGTGTGGGGTGGCGGAGGGGGTTTGGGACATGTCGGCGGCGAGCTGGAGGCGCTGCGCGGTCGCGGTGAGCCAGCCGTCGTCGCAGGGGAGGAGCGTCTGGATGTAGGCGCGCCCCGTGTCGCCGTCGATGACGATGCTGCGCTGCGCGAATGCGAGGCTGACGTCGGGGACTTTGGGCCGCGCGCTGTTGCCGTCGCGGAGGACGGGGATGTCGAGGGATGCGACGCCGATCTCGTAGTTGAAGTAGCCCACGAGCCCGCCCCAGAAGGGCGACTTTGCGCACCCGCCCGTGGCGGTCCGGGAGTGCATGTATTTGGCCAGGAAGCGCCAGATGGAGCCCTCGTACTCGGCCAGCGGCACCTGTGTCTGGTCGTCGCTGCTGCTGGTCTTGCTGGTGGTGGCGCCGCCGACCCTCGACAGCGCGGCAAAGGCGTCGCCGACGTTGTAGGTGATCACGCGTGTGACGCCCGGTATCAGAGCGGCGAAAATGCACCATCTGCCCGGCGCCGCTGCCGAGTCCAGCATGACAAACTCGTCCGCGCTCTGCACGCCGAGTATTTCCGCGACCCGCGTCGCCTGGAGGCCCCGCGCGGCGACAACCTTTGTTGTCACGCTCCGGCCCACCTTCTCGCCCTTCTCCACGACCTGCGGCCGCACGCCGCTGCGCCGCTCCCACGCCGCCTGCCGCTCCACCAGCCCCCTCTCCACATCGCTCCCGCCCCACCCCTCCGGCAGCCCCCCCGCGGCCCTCATACTGCTCCTCCCCCGGCTGCGGTTCCACTCACACGCCAGGCGCCACCAGTTTGCAACCACCTCTGCGCCGCCGCCGCCCGCCGTGCAGATACTCTCTGGGTGGTACTGGACGCCCCAGAACGGCTTGGCTGTGTGCCGCACCGCCATCAGCACGCGCCCGTTCTCGGCGTCGTGCGCCCATGCGAGGGCCTCGAGCTGGGGAGTGCTACTACTGTCGTCCGGCGGCAGCACGGCGTGGAGACTGTGGTAGCGCACGGCGCGCACGGTGCTTGCGCCTATGCCGCGGAAGAGGTCGGTGCCGCTGTGGGTGAGTGGTGAGACGAGGCCGTGCTTGACGGTGGGGAGGGGGTGGACGGTGGCGCCGGAGGCGAGGCAGAGGGACTGGTGGCCGAGGCAGACGCCGAGGACGGGGAGGAGGTGCTGCTCGCTGAGGTGCCAGATGTCGGCGGCGAGGCCGATGTCGGTGGGGTTTGCGGGGTGGCCCGGGCCGGGGCCGATGACGAGGGCGTCGAATGAGGGGAGGTGCTGCAGGAGCGTGGGGAGCGGGAGGGCGTCGATGTGGAGGGTGTGGACTGTTGCGGAGGTTGTGGTGCGCAGGAGGGAGGCGAGGTTGGAGGTGAAGGAGTCGTAGGCGTCGAGGAGGAGGATGCGTGGGGGGGGGGAGTGGCGGAGGGCATTCTGGATGGAGGGGGTGAGTGAGTATGGATGGCCGATGGAGGGAGGGAGGGAGGGAGGGAGAGTGACAGACTGCTTCCAAAGACAGGGCCTATCTCTACACTCCGAGGGCCACTCAACGTTGATTGTAAAAGCACCGACCGACACCGACCGACACCGTATGATAGCTATGTCTGTCTAAGCTATGTCAAGAGAGAGACAAAACCCCACACATGTCTCGTTCCCCTCCTCCAAGACAAAATTTTTTTTTTTCTTTGGCACACCCTGCGTCGATTTCGCTTAGCAACGGCATATTGAGATCTGACACCTTCCCCACATGCATTACCCTATTTCAACCTCATCTCTTGCGATACAGAGGCGGTTTCGCGGTGATGGTATCCAATGCCACATGGGCAGTTGTTTTCAGTTTGGGTTTTGGTTTTTTATTTGCGAATGGGGTTTTTTTTTTCGTAGGGTTGGGTGAGCGATTGTAGAAATTTGATTAGTTCAAACATAAGATTAAACTGGAGCATTCAGGTGTTGGGGTCTACGGAATCCCTAGTGGATGGGGTGGTATTACAGTACGGGGTTCTACTTCTTGACCTCCAGACACACGGGTTATATGTTGTGCTTGCTGTAGAGTAAATATTCGCGCACCCAACGCGGAAGTTACCGCCACCCCACCGCGCAGCTTACAAAGCCGCCCTCCTCCCCCCACCAACGCTCACTCACCACCATAACTGACTGCTCTTCCACTCCACCCCACCCCAAAACCTCCAAAACCTCGCCCCCCCAAAACCTCCCTCCATCAACCTCCATCGTGGACGGAAACCTGACTGAGGCAGTAGGAGTCGGAATCGGAGTCGGAGTCGGAATCGAATCGCATCAGAACCATGCCCCTCAACCCCACCACCACCGCCATCACAATCGACGACCTCCTCTCCTCCGCCGACGAGCGCTCCCAGGAGCTCGCCACCGTCGCCGCAATCTACCCCGAGCTGCACCCGCTCAGTCCCACCTCAGCCACCATCCAGCTCCCCGTGAGCCCCCTCGTACCCGTACCCGTACTCTTCCAAGACGAAAACCCCACCACCACCACCAACAAGAACACCAAGAACCAGCCATTACTCCCCATCTCACACTTCCCGCCACTGACACTACTATGCACCCTCCCCAGCGGCTACCCCAAAACCGCGCCGCCCACAATCACACTCAGCACCCACCCACCCTGGCTCCCCGCACCCGTCATCACCCGCCTCCAATCCGAGATCGCAGCGCTCTGGGAGGACTACGGCCGCGAACAAACAGTCTACACCGCCATCGACCACATCGCCACCTGCGCCGAGCGCGCATTCGACATTGCGCCCCCGCTCGCGCTGCCGGCGCGAATGAAGGCGGCTATGGCAGAGTACAACGACACCACGGTGCGCGCCGTCTTTACGGCCGGCACGTATGAGTGTGGCATCTGTCTGGAGCCCAAGAAGGGCGGCGTGTGCCATCGCGTTAGGAGCTGCGGACATGTGTTTTGTAGGGAATGCTTGAGCGACTATTTTGCCGCGTGTATTGCGGAGGGGAATGTTGCGGCCGTGACGTGCTCGGATCAGGCGTGTGTCAGGAAGGCGGCGAAGGTGGCTGCTGCTGCTCCCCCGCCGCCGTCGCAGCAGCAGGGGGAGAAGAGCGCAAAGAGTATGTTGCTCCCGCCGACGCTGCCGCCGGAGGAGCTGGCGGATATCGGCATCTCGAGGGAGCTCGTGAAGCGCTATGTAGACTTCAAGCAGAAGTCTGCGCTCGACGCAGACCCGGGGACCGTCTACTGCCCGCGTAACTGGTGCCAGGCGCCGAGTCGGGAGAGTATCGCCGCGCTGGAAAAGGCGATGGCGATGAACCACACCACGTACTACCTCCCCCCGCACGGCCTTGCCCCTACCCCTCCCACCTCTGCCGCCGCCGCCACCACCACCACCACGGCGGGGGCAGGGGCGGCGCCACACCAGAAGCTCCAAGTCTGCTCGCGCTGCACACTCGCCTTCTGCCGCGTGTGCGAGCGCAGCTGGCACGGCGACGGGACCATCTGCCGGGCGCCCAACGCGCCGCTTACCGCAGAGGAGCTTGCGAACGAGGACTACATCAAGACGAACACCACGGCGTGTCCAGAGTGCAGCACGCCGATTCTCAAGAGCCATGGGTGCAACCATATGATCTGCAAGTGCCAGGTGCACTTTTGCTTCCTGTGCTCGGCGTATCTGAGCCCTAGTCAGCCGTTTAAGCATTTCAATACGCTGGGGACGGAGTGTTATATGCGCTTGTGGGAGGGGGAGGAGGGGGATGGGGGGAGGGATGGGGGGGAGGGGGAGGAGGGGGAGGAGGGGTTTGGGGGGTTTGTGGTTGTGCAGGGTGTGGGGGGGTGATTGGTGTTGTGGGGGGGTGATGGGGCTGCAAGGGGGGAGGCTGGGGGGAGTGGGGGGGATTGGAGGTTTGGGGACGGTTGAGATTGCGACGAGCATGGCGATATCGGTCGATTTGAAATTTCTCTTTCTTTTCTCCTTTTCTTTCTGCGTTTCCCCTTCCTTTAATATCCCCATATCCCCCCCCCCCCTTTTTTTCTTTCTTATTTTCATTGCTATGGAGTTTTTCCCTTTTTATGTTTTACGTTTTGTTGGTCAAAAAATACGGACGGGGAGCTCGGTGGGTGGGACTTTGGGTGTTTTGTTTTTGTGTTTTGTGTTTTATTTCGCAATCGTGGGGTTTGGGCGGCGGCCCGCGGGGGGGGGGGGGGGGGGGGGGGGGTCGTGTATGTACATGAGTTTATACCGTGCTGTGCTAGTGTGTGCGGATTAGAGCGAGCTAGGGCAGAACGGAAAAAAGAAATAGATGCTGTGTGTGGTTCCCTGAAGCTGTAGGTATTGTGGTTGGTTGGCTATGAATCGGTTGCGGTTTGGCGGTTATTAGGCGTGGTTGGAGGTGAGATAAGTGAGAGAGAGAAGTGTCTGATGATATTGTATTGCCGTCGTGAATGGATGGATGGATGGATGGTAGATAGCGTCATGGATCAGCACTCGGTCTGAGACGGTGCTTGGCGCCAAGAAAGGGATACTATCAACCTTAAAGCCAATTGTTGGAATTGACACTTACATGTATCTGCTGTATATAACGTGTTTTAACACCTATGAATCCACCACAGTGCATTTGACAACCGGACTAGCGATGTCATTGGCGCTGATTTATATGTATGGGAGAAAAAAAAAATCTTTTAACGCCGAGCTTCGAAGAGCCTTCTTCCCGCCTCCTGAATATATGGATATATATATAACGTTAACTTCCATTCCCCGGCCGGCCGGGGGCTTCACTTCCTTTACAGGCTTTTCTTATATATAGCTACCCTAGATCTACTATATATATATATATATATTCTTGAAACGGAGAGTCGGCCGGGGAAGTAAGTGATATGATGGAAATCGAAGAGAAGAGGGAGTGGTGATTACAAGTTGACTGAGAACGAGCCGGGTACGTACTGGTGTACGTATAGTGACTAATTTATAAATGTATGATTTCCCTTTAAGCAATATTGTATGTTTATGAATATATTGGGCGGCTCTTGAAGCTTGAGCAGAAATTTCACAACTGTCCATCATACCAAAATAAACACAAAATAAAATCCTCTTTCGACATATACCTTTTTTTTTTTTTTTTTGTTATCAATCCATCGATTGTATATATGAAGAGGGGGGGGGGGGGGGGGAATATGAAGATTGGGTGGAAACTCTGCACCCCCCCCCCCCCCCTCTCGGGTCTAGGACATAATACCGCTTTTTTCGGCAACAAAAAGGAAAAATATCAGCCCATCAGGTCTGCCCGGCCATAAATATCATATCACTTATAAACCTTCAGAGCCTCCGGTAGCATTACACTAATAGCTGCAAACGCGGCCGCATAGGTTGCTGGCACAAAAGCGTTTTGAAAGTCGTTGGGGTGCCCAACCAGCCACCACGTTGCAAACGCCAGTGTTCCGAGCCAAACGATAGCCAGCAAGGAGATGAACTTCCACACCGAAAGACCCTCCATGGGCTGTAGACCCCAGCCTTCTACTCGGCTCCCCCCTTTTCAGCGGCCCAACTACTCTTTTGGGCATGAGATCTAGACAGTCGGTGGCTGTACCGGCACAGTCAGGCTGTTCAAAATAATGCATAAATTCGGCTACTGGGAAAACGGGTGGATTCTCGGGTGGCTTTGGGATATATTCATAATCGCGGTTTGTATGAGGAGGCAATTCCTCAGAGTCCTGGCAGTCGACATAATTCTGATAGTATCGAATGAACTTGAAGATGTTAGCATATTGAACCTTAGTCATACGAGAGAGCTCTTAAGTCGTCAGTCCAGATCTAATCTAATGATATAACCTTGCTCGCATATAACAGCTCCCATAGGAGGCCTGGCTATATCATTGAGATCCGGATCGACCGCTCAAGGGATAAGCGTAGAATTTACCCTGACAAACTTAATCCGCGCCACAAATGACAAGCTAAGCCACCTTTTCCAGCCTCGCGCACGGCGGTACTCTGCCCTTAAGTTCCGGAAGAACTCTCTGTCATTTGAAAAGGTTTTCTTATCCATCTGCACAAGCACTGTTCGATGCTGCCGCTTCCTTACGCAGCAAAGTATGAAGGTGCCAAGATTAGCAACAATCATATTTCCGGCTAAGCTAAGTACCGGGATGCCTGAGGTGGTTTGTTGTGGCGTTGAAGATAAACGGCCCAGCGTTGTTAGTACTGCAGATGGGCGGGTTGGAGGTTGACCCGACACCTGCGAAGTCCCCACTGTCCTGACGCTGCCAGAGCCAATACCAGCTGGAGATGAAGGAGAGTGATATCTCCCAATGATTTTGTCGCTAATCACCGTAGATATAATAGATCCACATGCCTAAAAAACGTATTTAGTAAGATATCACCTGCAAAAATGAGTGGATCCGGAGGCTCTACGCATTTCCAAGACATTTGAGTCAGACCAGGCTCCCCTGGGGGAACAGGTGACCTCAACGGCCACCAGCAAATTTCGCTCTTTATTCTGTTCTCCACCCAGATTCCTATTACGTCAAACCAATTTCTATGGTATGGCCTAAACTCTATCTCATTTCCAAATAAGTTGTCGGGTACGTCGGGTTGTGATCTAGAGCTGTCTATTTCATTATCTGCATATATCTCTGAGAATTCAACCAAAGGTACGCGCTCGACCACTTCAGCAGACTTGGAACCTGAGGTCGACGGATCTTGGCTTTCAAGACTGGGCAGATTTTCAGAGACCAGTGAGGTTTTCATATCTCCAAGCACACCGGATATCCGTGATGAACTCTGGGCTTGAGATGAGCTAATCAGGCTTAGCAAGGTCGCACCAAACCGAGTTCTTACGGCATTGGGACTTACTCCGTCGCAATCGATACATTCTTAAGAGTATCATGGCTAGATAGCTCCGAAATGGCTGGTTCTTCAACTTTGTTCAATGATTCTGGGTATTGATTGAGTGGCTTCGCATGTGCTACAGAAGTTTCCATATCCTCAAACATCTCAGGTACTACAGACGTCCCCACCTCCTCAAATATCTCAGGTATCGGTGAGAAACTCTCAGAGCTGATCAGGTTAGTAAGACCGCATAAAATTATTTTGCTACTACACTAAAACTATACTTACTCTGTCTTGATTGATACTCCACTGGGAGTTTCAAAGCCAGATTGCTCTAAGAGGGCCCGCTCCGTAGCCTCAAGCGACATTTCAGGCATCCGCGGATAGTTGATCCCGAATCGAGGAGAGCTAATCAAGCTTAGTATTGTCACGTTAAATCATGCTGTTACGCCATTACTATATATTAGGACTTACGTTGGTGCTTCCCCTAGAGTATAAGGACTGGATCTTCGAAACTAATCCTAAATGTATATAGCGTGTCGTTTTGCCTTGTCCGTCTCCACTTGTAGGGCGTCTAAGGAAATTCTGCGGTAACTTTTGAGCTCCATCAATTTGTGACCAGCTTCCGAAGACTCCGCCGCATTCCTTTCCGTCATGAGTCGCCGTAAGTTCTCGCTCTTATCACGGGTTGCCGGCGCCTTCAAACCCCTCATGAACCCCTTAAATCCCGGGGCCCTCGCTGCAGGCCCCTCAACTTCACTAAATCATAGAAATGTAATTCAGTCTTTCATCACAACCGAAAAATCATTCTCATCTCTTCTTTCAACTCCATAACACTAGTGCCAGCACGATTCCCAATACTCAAAACAAATATCGTTCGTCTCTATCTCTCTCTCTATATATATAGATATAGTGGGAGAAGAGAAAGAAGGGGGGGGTAAGAAATAGGACTTACGTCACTGTAGGCGCCCGCGCCCTATAGCTAGCCATATCTAATTCCATCTTCAACCCCCGGGCAGACACTTCGTTAAACATAGATTGTAGCACCCGCTCGTGCTCCACCAACCTCATCAGCTCACTTCTCCAAAGAAATCCGCGAGCTTCTTCCAAAAACCGATCCACAGGTAGTTGTATCTGCTCGTGGCGCCCATCCCGTAGCATATGCTCGAATTCCTCTAACCTGGCGCTCAATACGCTCAACTCGCTCATTGCCTGAGAAATTGCCTCAATTTCACTAAATCATAGAAATGTAATTAAGCTTTCATCGCAATCGAAAAAATCATTCTCATCCCTTCTTTCAACTCCATAACACTAGTGCCAACAAAATTCTCATGGCCACAATACACAAAACAAGTATCGTTCGTCACTCTTAATAAAATACATAGATATAGAGGGGTAAGAAATGGGACTTACATACTCTCTAGACCTCCCCAATACTTTTCGCCGAGTCCTTTGCCACCAGAAACCAGATTTCGACGTCATGACTGCCGACAATATTATACGACTAGCACCTTAATCCGCGATCGAATTCGTAGCGAAGAAACTGAAATAAGAGTACTGTGACTAAAAGCTATATTCCCATAATCATATGAGCTCGAGCTAGCTATGTATTGTAGGTACTGCAGCTATATACGATGCACCAAAGTACGTACGTTCGATTCAGCCTTGTTCCTCACAGAAAGCAGCCGGGTAACATTCATCCCATATCTGGCAGCTGCATGCAGCCAAGTTATAATTATGCAAGTTCTACCTACTTAAGCGCCCAGCCAGTCATATTCCATGCAGCCGGTTAGGTACTCTATGTATATGCATGCGCAGCAGAGTAGAGTACTCTACTCTACTCGTACTTTCGTAACGTTTGTAAAAGGAACCACTATTGCAATATACCATACAAATACGCGCCAAGTCCACAATTTAGTGTGGTATGCAATAGCGGTCCCTTTTACAAACGTCACGAAAATACGAGTACTCTATGTACCTACATACATAAGTACATACCCCTTTACCACGAAAAGAACAAGTGACGGAGACGGGGATAATTTATATAAGAGATCACCACCACTCCATACAAATAATCCTTGCCCTGAGCAACTGCATTTGCTGGCCAACGTCCCTTCCGTGGTAAACGAGTAATTCAAGCTTACGCTTAACCTCAAGCTTTCCCTATGTACAGCGTTTCTCCCGAGTACACAAGTATATATACGGGCGAGTATAAAAGTACTCACCCACAATTACCCTTTGAACTGCAGCGACGTCCGGATTTAATCATGTGGCCATGTGAGGATTCTCCCTGCGCAGCGCCTGCTCGGTACATATCGACCTGATATACCTATTAGATACATATATGTAGCTAGAATAAGCCCCGAACTGCCCATGTAAAATCAGTATGTATACCTATACCTACAAGGTGGCAAAACTTCAAAGCTTCGGGCGTGTTGGTAATGACATTGACATCAGTGTACCACATCAGGGTTAGGGTATCACAGCAGCTAACTAAGCGAGTGAGAATCCATGGTCCTAATTCGGCACTTTACTTAATACCCATGGCCAGCTTGTTGCGCACTGGTAGAGGGGTGTATTACTTCTTCCGATGTATTTTTAGAGTGTAGTTATAGCTATGGTTTCTGCTATGTTGCTAGTGCGTTGGTTTAATTTGCCTGACTCGGCGGGCTTAAAGGATATGCATTTGTTATGTGAGTGGTGGTATTACCATGGGGTTAGACAGGTAACATGGAATGGAATGACGATTACAATGAGAATTTGATATTCTCTGTATATGCTGTTTTTTTCTAGGAAACACTAGTGAAGGCGTGGAAGTCTGGTACGTGTGGTGACCTACTGGTTCCTAGTGGGATTGGATGGGAGTGGGAGAGAGCTTTTTCCTTTATTTTGTTTCTACCTTTTTATTTAATTGTAATTACCAGGGCGCTATAACTATATCTATAGACTAACTAAGCCAGGCTACAGCACCGCATATCCCCCAATCCCACCCCGCCGCTCCTTCCCAACAGCATACATCCCCCAAGCCATAATATCCACACCTAGATCCACACCCAAAACAAAAACAAAAACCACAACCAAAACTCCATTACCCCCTTCCCTTCCCCGCCGCCCCCCTTATTTAACCCACACAACCCTCATCTCCGGCAACACCACCCCTACCGCCACCACCGCCACCACATACCCCGCAGGCACAAACGCACCCTGCAAATCCCCCCTCCCCACCAACCACCACACCGCAAACACCATTGTACTTATCCACACGGCCAGCAGCAACAGCAGCAACCTCCACAGCGACAGCCCCTCCCCCGGCTGCAGCCCCCACCCCTCCGCGCGCGCCCCGCGCTCCAGCCGCCCCGCAACGCGCTTCGGCAGAAGGTCTAGACAGTACGTGGCGGTGCCCGCGCACTCGGGGGAGTCGAAGTAGTGCATCAGCTCCGTGGCGGGCAAGGTGGGTGGGTTGCGCGGCGGCTTGGGGTGGTAGTCGTAGTCGGGGTTGTCGGGTGGGGGGAGGACGCCGGATTCGTGGCAGTCGACGAAGTCGAGGTAGTATTGGGTGAACTGTGGGTTTATATATGTCAGCGTTTACCCTCTTTGGGGCGGAGGGGTAAGACGTACCCTGACGAATCTGATCTGAACCACGACGGAGAGGCTGCACCAGTGCCACCAGCCACGAACCCTTCTATACTCGTCTCGGAGATTACGGAAGAATTCCTGGTCGTTCTTGAAGGTTCCGCCGCCCAGGTGGATCAGCACCGTTCTATACCATCCCTTTCTGAAGCAGCAGAGGATGTACGTGCCGATGCTGAGACTCGGCCTACCCGGCAGTGCAGATTCTGGCAATTCCGTGTCTTGCCGCATCGGGGGCGTGTTGGGTGGGGTGGGCGGGGACACTAGGCGCTCCGAAGGCGACTGTCGGGGGGTGTCTGAGGGCGTTTTGCGGCCTGGGGACGCCCGGGGCCGTCGCTGGGTGGTGGGGTTGCGGGGGATTTCGGGGGTGGCTTGGTGTGGACCTGTGCGCCTGCTGGAGGGGGATGGGCGGCAGTGGGTTGGGGGGACGGTGGGAGAGGCCCGGGTTTTTTAATGGGGTAGATGCCGAGACCACCCGGCCCGCTTCTGCCGCCGGATGAAGACTGGGGACGCTGGTAGCTCCCGACGGTGTCGGTGGGGATCACGCTTGAGAGTGTGGATCCGCATTTCTGGAGAGTTGTTAGCACTGTATACTTGTTGGTTTCAGAACTCGGTAGAGGGACCTACGCATTTCCAGGACATCCGTGTCAGGCCAGATGTGTCGGGGTGGACCGGCGGCCTCAGAGGCCACCAGTCTAGTTGTGTTCCCATCTTCCGCTCCAGCCAGACACCAAACAGATCGAAATGAGACAGGTGATACGGCTCAAACTGTATCTCGTCCTCAGGCCAATCATGATATCCATATCCCATCTCTTCATCTCTATCAATATCATCAGGAGAATCCTGCTCCAAGACGGCTTCCTCCTTGGTGTTTCGTGTAAGTGGACACCTGTTTACAGTTAGTAATTACACGCACAAACGCCAATCCACAGGCCAGGGCCACAAAACTCACTCCTTCGTTTCCACCTCCCCTCTCGAATCCCTCCGGACCCAGAACTGTATCGGCGGCTCCAGCAGCCCATCCGACTCCATTCCATAATCCGTATCCTCCCCCGTGCGGGCCCCCGCCTCCGCGCCCTCCCCCTCCGCCATCTCGCCAATATCCTTCATCGTCTGCTTCCTCTGTGTCCCCTTCCAACCGCGGGTGCCCCTGCGGTCATAGCTTCCAATGTCCTGGCCGTGGATCTCGCGCAGATGCACCAGGAAGTTGCGGCGCTTCTTGAACCCGCCGTACCCATAGCTCTTCTTGTCGCAGTCGGCAAAGCAGTCGATCAGCCCGTATGCGTTGCGCTGCCACTGGAAACCCGGGAGCGCACGGAAGGCGTGCTGGTCGCTGAAGTCCGTGGTGGTGGTTAGAGAAGTAGTGGAGCTGGAGGGTGATGGCGCGGGTTTGGAGGCGGCCTCGCGCGGGAGCTTGGATAGCCCTGTGAATGAGCTGCTTCAATGTTAACACGTGTAGCTATGGCAGCATCAGGAATGGAAAAACGTACTCTGGACGGATCAGCTTTGTGGATGTAGATGTCGCTTTCGCAGATGGTGATTTCGATCGTGATTTCGCCGGGCGTGCAGGCAATTTGAGGTCTGATGTCGAAGTGCTACTTTCTTTGTTGTGTTTGCGTGACTTGACGGTGATGCCCATGGCGATTCCGAGCTGGTAGTGAATTTATATAGATTTTGAACAGTATAGGCCAGGTAAGTATGAGTACAATTCTTCGGAGGACAGGACGCCCCCACCCGTGCCCGCCTATATGCAATAAATTCCTCTCGCTTTTACTACAGGTCTGGCCAGGATGGGGCCAAGAAGTGTGAATGGGGCTTAGCGAGCTGATGTCTGCACTTTTACACTTCTAGGACAACGGGTTCCCAGAAGCACTGTTTGCGAGCCGCCGGTCCCAAGTGACATTTCGATACAGGTAATGAATGGCGTGAGGAGTATTAGAATATTTTAATCTTGTTGGTGGCTGCCCCCTTGATTTCTCAGCACTGCCCAATGACTCTGAAGAGGCGGTAGATCATGAGGTGCTGTAGTTGTTGCTCATCGGTCGATAACTTCACTTTGATATATCTATAAGCGACTCAGTGGGAATGCTTAGATCGGCAGAGTAATGAGTTGCTCTGTGGTTGAATATCGATATCAAATGCAGCCCTGCCACTGTGTGGAGGAGATGAACAGTTCTGTATGAAGGTGCCAATGATCGACAGTTTTAATATCGCTATATTACCGGTGACGTACATACGTTTTTCTAGAGCTTCCATGCTGCTCCGCCTTACATCTAGATACATGTTTTTTTTCCGTGTTGACAGCCAAAGTCTCAAACCCCATGTCTTTCGTAGAGTAGAGCACAGCCCTAACCAACAATGCCTCTGTTCATCTCTCACACACACACTAAGGTCCCACACCAACGCGAAGTAACCGGATGCGCGCAGTCTACTAATTCTGTCCATGCCCGTTGGAGATAGATTATTAGGCAAGACTAAGCATAACAGCGTCGGGACACGATTCAGCGGAGACGTGGCTGAACGGGTCAAACGAACCTGTCCTGTTTTCAGACCTGTATAAAACTAGACTTCGTAACCTAGACCAATACATTCATCATCATCTCATCCATCATCGAACTTGAGCACCACTCATAAAGTAGTGAGACCCTTGTCACGAACAGCCCGAAAGCGCGCAGTCTACTAATTACATGTATGCCCAGGCCCATTGGGGACAGATTATTAGGCCAGGCGTTAAAACACATTGCCGAACTTAGCCATAGGTAACCCGTAAGTTAACCGCCATCCTTCGATTCCACTCTGAAACAAGAGCAAAGGCTGGAGACAGAGACAAAGACAGAGACAGAGACAGAGACAGAGACAGAGACAGAGACAGAGACAGGGCTAGACGAAATCGTCTGCAGAGCACAAACCTCGGGAATCATTGACCCGCCGCCCGCCGCCAAGCTAAGAGCTCGCTCCCTTGCACACTACCGCACTGCTCATGACATCTCCGCACACTCAAACCAGCGCAGCCCGATGTCAAGTCTCGCAGAGGAATATACAGCATCCTCGTCGTCTTTTACAGGATGAGGATGGGAACTAGCTAATATCAATAATAGCCACTTCTTTCTAGCACCGGCGTACAGACGGCTAGAGCAGAGATTCAGGCCGCTCCCGTCATCGGGTATTGCAATGGATCAGAGGCTTTATGGGTCTAAATTTACCGGTATTTATGTCGACATCTATGCTACGCCGGAGGGGATGTAAGCACTAAACGGCCCGAGTACCTATTACCTTGACATATGGGCCAACCGATACCCAACCGGACCGCCGGGCGCGGGAAAGAGGGCAACGCCGCAGACAACCGACGCCTAGTCTCTATCGGAAAACCCTAAGAGCACCGGCGAATAAACTTCCACTGACCGAATTTACTCTGGAGAGTGTTTAAAAACTAGGCATGTATTTCAAACAAGCGGAGCCAAGTTCTACCAACATCACCGGATAAACCACAATAGCAAAACCCAACCAGATATTTCTAACGCAGAATGCGGGTTAGAGAATTGCACTACACTACAATATATATAGGCTAGTGTAGTCTAGCCCGGGTTGTTTTTCATTTGGCCTTGGCACACTTGGGCCCGGCCCACGGGCATGCATACAAAAACCAGCACATCGATCATTGACCCGGGAATACAAGAATTATTACAAAACGGGACGGCAGGGTACCACAGCATCCATCCATGTGTACTGTTTGTTGCAGTTACACATATATGCGCCTGGATAGAGATAACATTGGGGGAGACCGACGGTAGTTGGAGCTTATTGAAAGAGTTCCCGGGAAAGAGAGGGTTCGCGCCCTTTAACCACAAAACTAACTACCCCTAAACGCCAGATATCTATTTACAAATCCCGCTACGCAGGCCCAAAACAAAAGACACTAACAAACACAGGAAACCTCAATTGGCGCTCCCCACAGCTACAGCCGCAGCCACTGGCACATCCTCATCCTCCCCACTCTCATCCCCACTCTCACTCTCACTCTCACTCTCACTCACCTCCGCACCCGGCCTCCCCGGCTCCTCCCCAACACACCCGGCCTCCTTCCACCTCCTCCTCTCCACCTCCCACGCCTTCCACGCCTCCACCTCACTCCCCCTCTTCTGCCTTCCCACCGCCTTCTTGTGCCTATTACTCCTCACATGCACCCTCCATTGCTCCTCCCCCACACACACCGTGTCACACACCCTACACTCCCTCGACTCCGCCCACCCCGTCCTCCCTCTACTCTCCGCCCCTAGCACCTCCTCCGCCAGCGCCCCCAACCCTCTCGGATCCGGCAACGCCTCCCCCGCCAAAAACGCCCTCGCAATCCCCATCCCCGTCGGACACACCGTCGCCATAAACTCCTCTGGCGACGTCGAGTCCAGCAGGAACAACGCATCCCCACCCCCGCCCAGCGCCGGGAGCAGCTTCTGCCGTATCCACCTCACCTGCGCCTTCGCATACTGCCTCGTCGCCGTCTTCATCGCCTCCAGCGCGCTGTCCAACATCACCTTCAGCTCCCCCCTCACTGCCGGCTCCAACCCCTGCGTCTCCTCCTCCCCCGCACCAATCCCATAGCCCACGCCCAGCTCCGCCCGGCGCCGCATGAAGGGCAGAAACTCCTTAAAGCCGATACTCTGCCATATGCCGGCGGTCGCATCGACGGCGTCGCCAGCCTCGTCCCACAGGGCCTTCATTTGCTCGATCTCGTCGGCCATGCCGCGGCTCAGCATAGCGTCAACTCGGTTATCGAGGCGGGTGCGGAGGGCGGGGGTGGAGGCATGGACCCAGAGGAGGAGGGCGCGGTAGGGGGAGTGGGGAGTTGGTTGGGAAGCATAGAGGCTGCTGGGGGGTTGGCCGGTGGTGTAGTAGATTGTGAGGGAGCGGAGGATCTTGCGGCGGTCGTGGGGGTGCCAGTGGGAGGCGATGGTGGGGTCGATGGTGGTGAGGTGGGCGTGGAGGGTGGATGTGGGGGTGGTGGGGTCGCTGATGAAGGGCGGGAGGGCGGCGGGGGTGGAGGGGGTGGAGGGGGTGGAGGGGTGGAGGGGGTGGAGGGAGTCTCTGGAGTGGAGGTGGAGATGGAGGCGGAGGTGGAGGTCGAGCCTGTAGAGGTAGAGGTAGAGGTAGATGTGAGGGTTGTCGGGTACAGGAGGGATTGGATATAATAATGTGTTCCGCCGACCAGTATCGGGACCCTATTCCGCGCGTGGATCTCCGCTATCTGCTCACCACACCCCAGCCCAGCCAAGCCAAGCCTGGTCAGCCAATCCAATCCAACCCAATCACACCCCGGAGAACCGGAGAAACAGCCAACAGCCAAAGAATGAGACCCACAATTCTCCCCGCCTCACTAACAAACCTCCCGACCTGCCACGCATCCCGCGCATCCAGCACGCCCAGCAGATGATGTGGCACCCCGCGCGCCTCCTCCGGCGTGATCTTGTTTGTGATTATGGGCAGCCCCGCGTACATCTGCATCGCGTCGGCGTTGATGATCTCGCCGTTGAGTGCCAGCGCTAGATCTACCGCAAGCTGTATTATATAGTGTGCATTTTAGTCGTGTGAGATTGGGAAGGGGGAGGGGGTAGTACGTTTGACTTCCCGGTGCCCGTGGCGCCGATGACGGTGATGAGCGGTGGGCGGGTGTCAATTGCGGGAGCGGCCATTCTGCGTACGGCGGGGGTGAGGGTGGGTGGTTTAGAGGAGAGACGGTGAAGAGGTAGCTGTAGGTGTAGGAGTGTTTGTAGTTTTTGTTGTGAAAAGAGACGGCGGAGATGCATAAGAAGAAGAAGAAGAAGAAGGCTCTCTCGTGTATAGCAAATAGCAGTGAATAAACTTTTTCCGAGGCTCGTGTAACGTGCGCGGGGTCAATGACCGTCCGGGTAAGTAATGTAGCTATGTACATCTGTGTGACGCGGGGGAACCTTGGGAACTTTGAGCCTCACTGCACCCACAATTCCCACAGCCATCACAGCTCCACAACTCCTAATACTATCACAGCTATACAAGCACAATGGCAAACATCGACCGCCCCAAAACACCCCTCGACGAAACCCTCTGGCGCGACCAAGCCTGGTACCGCACCTGGGGCCCCCTCACCCCATTCACTGGTACCCCCCCCCCCCCACTCCTCCCCCTTCCCTCCTCCCCCCTCACCACCCCACTAACCCCCTCCGCCCCCCAGTAATGGACTACTTCCGCCTCTCCACCTTCTTCGACAACACCTCCAACAACGGCACCCTCTTCCAACAAATGCAATTCCGCCCCGAAATCCGCCAAGAGCTGGCCACGCCCGACCTCTTCAACGCGCGCCTCCGCCGCATGACGGGCGTCGAATACATGCTCGCCACCGGCTCCTCCGACACGGGCGTCTGGGTGATAAGGAAGCAGCTGCGGCGCGGCGTGGTGAGGGCTGAGGACGGGCAGGAGGTCGAGGATGTGAGTGTGCTTGCGACGTACTATGTCGTGGGTGAGAATGTGTTTATGGCGCCGGCGGTGGGGGCGGTGTTGATGAACCGGATGGTATACTCCCTTGCTACCCCTCCCCAATCACCCCAATCCCTCTCCGGGGGCAAGAAGCTGAAGCTGAAGCTGACATACCGGTGCGTACGTAGTTAACCGCCATCACGGCCCTCCGCAGCGCCCAGTCCATCGCCGCCAGCATCGCCGAATACCGCCCCGCCGGCTCCTCCACCGCCGCTTCCACCTCCGAGAAAAAAGCCGACAACAGCGGCGCCAGCGCCAGCAATAGCAGCGTAGGCGGTAGCAGCGCGAAGGAGCTGCCGAGGGCGCTGGCGCTGCATCTGAAGTACCAGGGCGAGTATATGGACGACCATGCGCCGCTGCTTGGGGATCCAGGGAGCTTTCTGCAGAGCGGGCCGGCGGCTGGGGGAGGGGCGGCGGGAGGAGGAGGTGGGGGGGTGGGAGGGGCGGTGGGTGCGGGGGTGGGTGGGGTGGGGGGCATGGGGAGGGGGAGTAGGAGTGGGACGCCGGCGGGGGAGAAGAAGGAGGTGGGGACGCCGAGGAGGAAATAGGTTGGTGCGGTGGGTGGGGTGGGAGGGGGGGGGGGGGTTGTGGGGTTTGTGTTTTGTGTTTTTAGGAGTTTTAGGTTTTTTTCTTGTTTTTTCTTGTTTTTGTTCTGGGTTTTGTTTTTGTTTTGGTTCTGGTTTGACGTGATATACATGTAGCTACATACATGTAGTGAGTAAGTAATTCTTAGGCGCTGAACACACAGCGCGCGGCTGTCTACAGCAGTACAGTACAGTACAGTATAGCGAGTGCCCACACCATACCATACCATACCAAAGCTCTAGTCACATGTAGCTATACATAGCTATCTACAAATCTCCCCCTCCAGTAAGAGCCGGCATAAAATAACATGCAGGTAATTAACACATTAATGAACATATGCCCATTTCCCCATGTCCGCTACCCCCATTCCTCACACGGCGAAACCCGAGCAGACACATCGGTGGGTGGCGATAGCTATAGATTAAGCATACCCAACCCCCCTACTCTACTCTACTTTATTACTACAAATACCCTGGCTCTATATATTAATATAAGTATGCCCTGGCTGTGATGTTCAGCCCTGTATATAGGCAGGTACGTTACGCGTCCTCTCATATATGCGTAATATGCTTCAATAAATGAAATCACGAGAGGAAGGATGGGAATTGAGAATGGGTTTGTAGATGAAGTGAGGTGAAGTGAAATTATTAAGGCTAAGCGAATAGTCAGGCCAATCAAGAGTTGTTTGTTACCAAGAGTCGAGAATCCGAGTGATAGTCTATGACTGGCTCTTACGGAACTTAGAAAGCTAGCTCTCTAACTCCCAGTGCCGTACCGTACATGCTGCAATGAGAACCTGCGCCCCCCGGGAAAGAGTACTTAGGAACCCACTCTATATCCCCATTGTTCTTCATCATTCATTCATCACGATAAAGTAGAGCAGAGCATCCAGCAAAACAAAATAAAAAATAAAAAAATAAAAATATTCTGCTGCAAAAGAGATTCGAACTAGCAACACCTCGTTTCGATCGAGGGACCTCCGGGTTATGAGCCCGGCGCGCTTCCGCTGCGCCATGTTGCTATAGCGGCATTTGTCTTTCGGGCGACTTTGGGGCCCACCCTAGGATAACACAACACGGGGGGATGTGACAATTGTATTGAAATCTGGTATGAGCGACAGTGTCTGCCAGCAATGTACCCAACCGGTAAAATATTTATCCCTCCATAGTTCATCTCTACTCTATGTGTGCTCAGATGTTATTTCCTCTGGACACCTGCGCTTTCGGTCACAACTTCCCCGACTACAAAGAAAAAGACACGCTGCCTCTGTAGATTTTCTCTACATGCCAGAGCAATTGATCCGGCGGTGTCCAGGGCGGGGCTGCTGATTCCGGAAAGGCACAGTCACGATCGTATGTTCAAGAGACGGGGGGGGATGCGAAACGCAATTCATACTTTAAAACACAATATATGGATTTCTTTTTCAAATTGAAGCGCCTGCGGGTGTATTCACAAGCACACAATATACGTCCTTATGTGCATGTAGAAATCAAGGGACTAAAGGCCAGCGAATAGAGAGAGTACATGTATGATCGAAGTCGGCCGACCATATCGTGAAACAAACCAGCCGACGGCGGTGAGAACTCTCCGCCGGCCGCGCATCAAAAGAAAAACTTTTTTCTTTCTTTCTCCCATGACGTCTGCCACGGCGCTCTGCCAACGCGTTCGTTTCCCCTGATCAGCTCCGTCAGCTAAGAGATCCCACCCGCAAAACAAGCTCTTGAAACTGCCGTCCCTGTGGCTCAACCCCCCAACCCCAACCAGGGTCTAGGAGAATGCCGAGGTGCTGTGAAATACGCGCGTTCTCCGTTGAAAAGTTGAACTCGAGGCTGGGGGGGGGGGGGGGACTAAGCGATCTCGGTTTCCTTTCCGCACCTGGGAGGTTATTGGGGTTAAACTCTTGGGCTTTTTACCGCTTCCGACCGATGGCGCCCCTGACAGGGCAGCGAGCCAGGGTGCGAATAGAGTGCCTAGAGTTTATTCCAACCTCTTGGCGGATCCTAGGATCCTACTTACGTTACTGCTAGCTACATGTGGCTGCTCAGTTACAATTTGCTTGCTGCGTCAGAAGTCAACGGTTTCAAAAGTCCATGTCATGTCGGCTCCGAGGTACCCTCCGCCCTCCCCTAATAATGAAATCTCCCTCTGGTAGCTAGATGTAGCTACGTACTCACCACCACCACCTGAAACTTGTCTATTCTACCTTAATGCCTCTATTATGCATCTTTCTGGATATCGTGGAGATGGGAACTTGTTGATTCGATTAGGTCCCCTAGCTATCCAGAAGGCCCAGGCACGTCGGAATACATGGGATATATCAAGTACTCAACCAGATAGGCAGCGATAAACAAGCCTCTAGGGCTTCCACGGGAAGTTCCTACCGCCTGGGTGGATACCTCTCTCTCCCCAAAGGCCAGATCAAGAGGTCGCGGCTTCAAAGTACTAGGCTCCCCGGGTTTCTAGAGTAAAGGGGATTGATCTAGGTATTTACCAGGCGACCAGCCAATCCGGAGCTTGACATTTCCCACCATGATACTCCGAGTCTACAAGTATTGACGGGGTGGCCAATCGGGTTTATTGCATATGGATTTGACAGCCGTTGCTATGCATATTAAGAACGACGTCGAACACTGCAACGCGTACGCACTCTACCTGCAGCAGGCGTTGTTAGAAAATTATAGGGTTTGAAAGCCTTGGCAAGAAGGGTGTATACGTACACCACCACGGCGATACTTTACAGATACTCCACAGCGCCTACTACTAAGTACAAACTAGCACTTTAGGCCCGGAACGCGCAAGTGTGTAAAACCCGGGCCTAGCTAATGTCCTAATGTCAAAATGGGGCAAGGGCTCGAAGTACTGCCTCAACCAACCAACAACAACATTACAAACAAGAGTTCCTTAGTAATAGAGTTTAGCGTTTAGCATTTGGAATTGCTTGGATAATCTTCAATCGGAACTTACAAGCCCCGACATCGCTTACGAGGATGATTCAGACTCTGGAGTTTTCTGCGTTCTCTGCGAGATCTATCTTTGCTTTGCACTAGGTTTTAGGATCTGGAGTCGAAGGGACTGTACTGCCTGCCAGTGTACATAGCTGGCAAGAGTGGGTCCGGATTAGAGTACTACGTGGGCTCGTGATCTGCTCTCTGGATTTCGCAACTGTTGTCAGCGATTCGTAAATGCTGAGCTGTTATACGTCGGCCCTATATTGGATAACCCCAGATTGGCCAATGTCCGAAGGAACAACAAGGGAAGCACGGATTCCGAGCGAGGGCGTGGGCACGAATTCATGTAAGCCCCTTGCAAGAGTGGAAAATCCGGAGCTATGGTCCATTATCGCAATCTAGAAGACCACCAGGACCCATGCTGAGGGATCTGCATCCTTGAGAATACTTACGACGACAATTGACAGCTCAAGGATTGGCTGTGGAGAATTGAACACAGGAGACAAACTATATAACCAGCTTTGGATGTCCTGATCTTGGTGAAAAAAAAAATCATCAAGCAGTTCTACAGTCTCATCCTCACTCACTACAAATCAAAAACCTCGCTCTTTGCCAAATACTACTACCAAAAACCACTTCAACTTTTTTATATCGATATTCAAAATGGTCCAACTCACCAACTTCGTCTATGCAATTACAGCTGCCTCCATCATCGGAGCAGTCACTGCCCACCCCGGCTCCCACGACGGTGCCAGCGCCGCCGAGCTCGCCAGACGCTCCAACTTCATCGCCAGCTCCAAGCGCTCTCTCGCTGGCTGTGCCAGCAAGATGAAGGCCCGTGGCTTCGAGGAGAAGGCCATTGCCCGCCGTGCGGCCCTCGCTGAAAGCATTAGAGCCAAGAGGTCCATCCAGGGCGGTCGTCAATACCTCAAGGCCCGTGACTTGGCCACCGTCTTGGCCACCGACCACGCCTCCGACTTGGAGGGTGTTACCCTCAGCACTGATTACAGTACCCTCTTCAGTGGTAACGTTTCTTGCGTCCTCCAGCCTGAGGTTACCCAGGGACCGTACTACGTCGACGGCGAGTTGGTCCGCCAGGACATCAGGGAGACTCAGGGCGGTGTCGACCTCTACGCCGATGTCCAGATTGTCGATGTCGCGACTTGCGAGCCCGTCCCCAACCTCTACCTTGACTGGTGGCACGCAAACGCCACTGGAGTCTACTCCGGAATCGTTGCCAGCGGTAACGGCGACTCCTCCGATGCCACCAACATCGACAACAGCTTCCTCCGTGGCGTCCAGCCCACCGATGAGGATGGTGTCGCCCAATTCCTCACCGTCTTCCCCGGCCACTACACCTCGCGTGCCACCCACGTGCACATTCTCGGGCACCTCAACCCCACCGTTCTCGCTAACAACACCATCAGCGGCGGTACCGTCTCCCACGTCGGCCAGGTCTTCTTCGACCAGGAACTCATCAGCACCGTCGAGACTACCTCCCCCTACTCCACCAACACCCAGGAGCTCACCGCCAACGCTGATGACCAGATCCTCTCTGAGGAGGCCGCCGATATGGACCCCTTTATGGAGTACGTCCTCCTCGGTGACAGTGTTTCAGATGGTATCTTGGCTTGGATCTCTATCGGTATTGACACCTCTGCTTCGTACTCTGTCAGCTCTGCCGCTACCTGGACTGAGCACGGTGGTGTTGCCAACTCCAACTCTGGTGCTGGCGGAATGGGCGGTGGCTCTGCCCCCTCTGGTACTGGTGCTCCCGGCGGTGGAATGACTGCTCCTACTGGTGCTCCTCCTTCCTAAGTGGTGGCTGAGTGATGTAGAATGGCTTGTCTGGTTACGGGGCATTCTTGTATTAGTACGGATTGGATATGTATGAATAGCAGGAGGATAGATGAGGTCCAGAGATTACTGGGTTGTAGTTTTTTGTAGTATCTAAAATGGTTTTTCTTTTGTTGTGGTAGTGTTAAGTAGTTTATATAAAAGCACTTTTTTTCCCTTCGAGAAAATTGTTATAGTTCACGAATACCGAGTGATATATTGTGATTATGAATATAATATCAATTGGCCACTAAACTGGCCGAACGCCTCTTATAAGGCAGTTTGAGACGATATCAAGTCTTAGGCCTGTAGTGCCTTTTCAGGAAGAGGATCGCTCTCGTCACGCAAGGCGTGACTCGTGACGGGCTTGGAAGCCGAGTGAGTACCTGTGCGCCAAGCCCTACCGATCATCCCGACATACAGAAGTACAAGTCCTTAACCATAGAGTGTTTCAATACTTAATCTAGTCATCAATTAACTCAGATGTTGATTGAAATGTGCCTAGTGCTAAGAATAAGGCGCCGTCGAGAACCACCCACTGTTCTATTAGAGCATATTTACTAAGTGTCCTTTTTGACAATTGACACTTCGAAATTGACGGTTGCAAGAGATAAAATTGATACTTCCCCTCCATAAGGATATGAAATACGCAAGCCGCAAGAACAGTATGATAACTACTAGGTATCCCCTAAGTGTATTTGGCATACTTTTAACGTATTTCACAGCCTGGCAAGCGACCCCACCCAAAAATGACACTTGCGGATGCCGCTTTGGAGAGTGACGAAGTGTCAATTTTCAGAATTGACGGTTAGTAAATACGCTCTATTAAGACCGGCAACGGGTTAACGACTATGTATGTCACCGGCCACGCATATTGGCATTGGTATTCTAAAAAAAAAATTGATATATATCCAACACAAACTTCAAGTTTCTCAGGATAATTACAAGACCCTTCCAATTCTTACTACTAATTCACGACGGAGGATGTGTTACAAAGCCCGGCCTTTTAAAACATAAGATATCACTCGGTTTCGGTACATAGCTAAGCTACATGTAGGCATTGATTGATTCATTGATTAACTCAGCTCTAACCTATGTAAACACAAGCATCGATGAAATAACTCAACTCAGCCCCACTTCTACTTGCCGAGCAGAAGGGATTAACTAGTCTTCACTGATTCGAAACTAAATGACCTGACCGCAGATCATGACCATATATATGGGCCATGCTAGTGTCCGGGAAACAAAACCGATTTAGTCAGACCAAGTAAAAAGTCAAAGTTTCCGGGCTTATATTTTGAATCTGACGCATCCAAGGGTATTTAGAGTTTTTCGGCATCTCTCTCCGTATGCACAAACCCTAAATACCGAGACCGGTGAGAGATATATGCATGAACTTGCCGTGCTGAATGCAAGATTATGCCACTGGATTGTGGTATTACAAAATTATCATTTCATTATGAGGCTAATCGTTTGTCTTACTCCCCTACTCAACAAAAAGGTCGGCCAACCAGTCCTACCGAGCGATAATACATGACTATAATTCAATATTATCACCACACATAAAGATCACTTCCAATAGTTTTTAAGCTTACGCAAGTTGGTAGCATGCATCTAGTCTACTATGGTCACCACAAACTAGAATTCGTATAATTCAAGATCCGCATAGGGTTAGGGTTTTATAAAGCTTGACCCATGCCAACCTGATTAGTCGGCCAGATTCTGATACTGGCGAACCGGCGAACCACGCAGCTAGGATGATAAGTATTAGACACTGGCCACTGGTATTTAGAGTATAGTAGAAGTAATGACTCTAGAGCTGTCCGATAGGTGTACTTGCTAAAGCCTTACTGGCTGGGAGGTAAACCTAATCAAGTGCAATTGATATTAAGCCCAGTCTATCACGCGAAAGATTACATGAAACTAGACGGATACTATATCGAGCCAGAGAGGGCACCATTGGAGCCGTGCCCAAGTAGATTAATGCGATAGGTAGACTAATGCATGCGCATCAATCAAACTTCCTTGATCTCATCTCGTCGATCATGAAAAAAAGAGATATCAAATCTACGGAGAGAGAGCTAGAGGGACCGAGTAGATTAGGCCTTGACCTCGACGCAAGCTAGATTTCCTATGACGTCTATCGTAGTAGTCGGCGAAGTTCTGACCATGTCGCGGGGAAGGTAAATTACCCGCCGGCATGCTGTAATAGGTATCTACATCTTGTAGGTATAACATATATCTAATCTCCCGGTGGATTATATATATAGTCTAGATCTCGTGCCCAGTCGGTTTTCATTTGTAGATATATGTGCAGCCATTGAGCTGCACGTAAAATTTAAAAGTCCGAGACTAAGAACTCCACATGTAGTATACCGGTTCTCTTGCCTTTCAATTTAAACTAACTAGATGTAACTAGCTTCCAACCAGCCAGAAAGCTACAAACATCTCTCGGTCAGGTTTGAATTCAATCCGTGTTTCGCGGCTTATGAAAAGATCACGAACGAGCTAGCGAGTAACACAACGAAGATCAATAACTGTTTTTTGCATGCTATATGCCGTTTTCTGTCCCTCGTTACAGATCTTCCCGTAAATTCTAGATTAATTCCGCATTTAAGTATTACTATTCCGCATGACTCGAGCTATCGGTAACGTTTGTGATTTTATATGTGGTACTGCATGCCATGCAGCTAGCACTACTGGTCAATAACACTTGATCTACTCTAGTTCAACAGTGACAACGTGTAATGCAACCTAGCTGCTACATGGGTTTAATCACACTTCACAAAGATCGTTCACACCCAAATTGCAAAGCCTTTAGCTCATATAGTGTTAAAGCCTCTAAGTAGTGACGATATATGTGTATTAGTTTGTTAATCCATTTAAGCTGACCGGCCAACAAAGAAAAATAACTCCATAATATGTAATTAATTATCCCTATTTAAATCTCGGCCCTAAGCGCTCGCTGTGTTTGGATCACTGCAGACAGTACATTTCAAGAAGAAAAAAACTACAGGGATCATGTATTCTAACCACGCGGGACGGATATCGAAGCCATCTAGCTTCCGCAGCGGCGGGAGCAACGATGGGATGAACCTTACGCTCGATACTAAAAAAAAAACCATTGGCTTGGTTTCGTGGAACTTGATAATATACATTTATATCTATTTAATTCCAATGTACATAGACTCTCAAACAAATATCCATTCCGAGTGTTAATCCATGTCATCAGCAGTGCAGATGCATGCCTCCATTACTTATCTCGCCTGCGCTGCATCTCACTTATTATTTACTCAGACGCCCCAACACGCACCACACACACACACACACACACACACACACCTGTAATTCGGCACAAATATCTCAAAACCACTACCATATTCCTTTCTCTTTTCTGTTCCTGAGCCGTGGGTGAGATCTGCACGTGCTTTGAATACCTTGGGTTTGGAGAGGCATGTTTCTTAAATTTATAAAAGTCCGTGATAAGCCCAGGGCAGGGAGGTAGCACATAGTAGGGACGCCCTCCCGGACAACCAAGCTAGATGTGATAGAAAAAGAGTTTAGTTTGGGACCTATCGCCACCAGTAGTGGTTCCGCGCTTGCCAGCTTGAAGGGATTTAATTTTATTATCGACCGTAAACCTTATCCCCCCAGCTACAGATGCAAAACAGAGAAGAGAAAGGGCGTATCGTTTCCCGGTATTTCCAGATTTGTGATATTGTAAATCGTTTTCAGCTCCAGGATTCGACCTCTATCGATATCGCAACAAGCATTGTCCTTGTTCGGACATCCGGAAAATCTTTGATCAATAAAATACATAGGCATGCAGATGATAGTAAGAGGCTCGGTACTTACGGAGTAGGTGACTTCCTATCCACGTCAAGTTTTGGTGAGAATGAGTGGTAGAATAGAATCAATTCATCTTACCTTAATCACGACGAGTCACTCGTCCGTTCCAAGACGCGTTCAAGCCTAAATAACTCTCATCAGCTGGTTACTGAGACACTATCTATTCCCAACAATTGGATCAGGTTCTGTCTCATCGGCCCCGTAAGCACTACAAAGTGATCCGGAGGTCGCCAATTAACACCATACATTCCCGTGAGGTTAAACGCCTCACAAATTCCCTTTCCGGCGGACGGTCGAAATAGAGATAATCCATTTACCCCCTGGATATGCATGTGCCCCCCACACTTACACCGACAGATTTCAGCCCTTCATTTTGATCGGCCAGAAGAAATATGTATGCCTAGTTACGCGCGCTTTGGGCTTAAAGATTCGCCAAGTAAGGTTGAATCAAAGTCCCGCGGTCCTGCAGTGCGGTATATTCTCAAACAGGAGTATCTTCAAGACTTCTATTAGAGAAGACTTCTAGGGCTAAAGGTAGGCTAAACGAGGGACTTCAAAGTCAGCGGCGCTGCAATTACAGCGACCGGAATGATCTATGGAAAAACAGGGGGGTGAAATTGTATGGCGAAATATCAGTGCACCATATAACTATTTTTTCCATAGATCATTCCTATCGCTGTACACCGGGGCCAAGAGAAAAAGATCATGCATGGAGTACACTTTTACCGACAGTGCCTCCAGTAGAATGTGGAAGTACCGCACTGAAGCCACCTAGCTCTCTATAGGGGAGATCGCCCCTATTTCGTTATTATTAAAACTTAAGATATAAGATATAGCAAGGACAGAAGAGAAATGTTGAGAACAAGCCGGGAGCCGGTGGTGGTAAATACATGTAAGCGCATACCCAGCGCCATACCGTGGCTAAGGCATGTTTATGCATGCAGTGATCTGTCCCTGCGAAAAAGAAGTGAGAATAATTGCTTCCTCTCATTCTCCATCCATACAAGAAGCTTCTGGCTTAGGTCGCTCGTTTGGGGGCGCATCAATTGTCAATATCCTAATCACTACTTTAATGGTTAGAATTGATGTAGGATACCTTCTTATGTTTTCAAGGAATTACAACGAGCTCTATC